GGTAGGTTGTAGGACCCCAACTCACCTGAGCTAGCCTGTGGACCGTGTCATACGTGAATGGCGGTAGAGGGGGTTCTGCGGGTGGGGCAACACGCAGGACGAATAGCAGGCGGGTCCCAATAAGACACAAAATAAATTCCTGCCGAGTCTTATGGCACGCTGGTTCCCCCCAAATGTGATCTTTATGGCACAGAGATTGAAGCTGCCCTCGTGCATGTCGTGGGCGTGGCACGCGTAGACGGGCTGTCAGCCATTGTACTTGCGCTCACTTTCGATTGTCTTGCCGTCAGAACGAGGCAGGTGGGTTGCGGAAGAGGGTGTGGTAGGTGCGGTGCAAGTCAACGGTGCTCCGTCCACTCCGCTGGGCACCCAGTGGACGTGGTCGCTTGCAACGGTCGAACTATGATTATTATTATTATTATCATTATTATTATTGATATAATTATTATCCAGTGGCCACCTACTCATTCAGCAGGCCAGTCCGTCACACGTACATACGTGCGACTTCTATACGCTTTCCGCATGCCTAATACGATTATATCTTGGTTGGGATATCCAAATTTTTCAAAGTCTCTACCCCGAAGTTCCAGCGTGGGTTTCACAACTGTGCATCGCTTATGCCCCCTCTACTAGGGCCGCGGAATCCAGCTAAATAGTTATTACTAGTATCCTCGTAGTTATTGCATAATGGGCCGGTTTGGGAGAAGGTGACTGTTATATCCCCCAATAGTATGACGCCAGTTGTGTGCGGAATAGAAGGCAGACAGGATACCAGAGAACGGCTTTACCGTGCCAGCCACCCTGTGTGCATCAACTCTTAATCCTTCCGTCCGTCCTAATAGTGGCAATGCCGTGCACGTTCGAAAAACGCGGCCGTGACGTTTATCGGTCCGGCTTGATTGCAGTACTCAATACGGACGTCTCGTTACGCCTTCGGGCTCAGCTGTCAGCGCACTCATCTCAATAATCAGTTCAGTTCCATCAAGTAGAATTTGCCTTTTGGAGACCTTTACTTAAAAGTGCTAGGGCCGCCTCCGTGAACAGCACTAAAAACCTGTCACGGGACTGCCTAGGTTCCAGAAAGCACTGTCCTGGTTGGATACCCTGGTAAAGCACCCATTCCACCAAAAGTTCCCACCACGCATGCAGGTCTCGCGGGTGCAAACCTGTGCTAACGGGACGAAAGAGTTCGCAAGCGTGCTCTTGCCGTGAATTTGCCCGCAGAAAACGAGCCCCCTGTTTTTTTGTTACACCGCTAGAAGCGCAGACACCTTGCACATGTGTACAATAGTCAGCCGCACTGACGACAGTCATCGGAAATCCGCCATGAAGAAAGTTGACCGATAATTCTATGGAAAAACAAATAACTCATTCAACAAGACTGCGCATGGCGTTGACCAGCACTCCCAAGCTGTCGAGTTTATATCGCCTGAGGCTGCATCTCTAAGATGTTGGATAAAAGATGTCTTGTGCGGCTTTTGAAATGTTTTTTATTTCGGCAAAAATTTAAACTCGGCTGTCTCTGGACAGATGCCAGTTTAGCAGTAGTGAAAATGCAATCCCCAGGTTGAAGGAGACGTGTTCATCAGCAGCGGTTTATTAGAGGTCTGACGTTTCGAGTAGTAACCTCGTCTACCCATCGTCATGCGCACACCTCTCATTACATAGCGCACTTTGTTCGATGTGTGGCCCACCAATGCCGCCTGTGCGGCTGCATCCGACCTGCATGTCACCATGTCATCCCCGCCCTCATCGGCCGCGTAGATAGTTGACGGCTGTTATATCCCCAAATAGTATGACGCCAGTTCTGTGCGGAATAGAAGACAGACAGGATACCAGAGAACAACTTTACTGTGTCAGTCACTCTGTGTACATCAACTCTTAATCCTTCCGTCCGTGGCTTCTTATTTAAGGGTTCAGCCTTTGTCTGGTTTGCTTGTTCCTACTGGTCCAGTCCTGAGCGCCCCCATGGGCGGACCCTCGCCTCAAGATCGCGCGTCACTCCGCGGTGTGCTAATGTCTTGCTCGCACGCGAGCATGCTAGGCGAGACTGCCTTGCCTTTTTGCGGTTCTTTGTCAGGCGTGACCTCCGGACGACTGGAACGGTGCGTCATGTTCTGGGCCGTCCTAATCGTGGCAATGCCGTGCACGTTCGAAAAACGCGGCCGTGACGTTTATCGGTCTGGCTTGATTGCAGTACTCTATACGGACGTCTCGTTACACCTTCGGGCTCAGCTGTCAGCGCACTCATCTCAATAATCAAAGCATGATCCTGGGCTAAATCTCTGGTCTACTTGGGGCGCTGCTAGTGTATGAACGGTTTATTGCAACAGGTGCACAAAAAGTGGCCATTTCCATTAGTGTTTTCGTTGGCAACGCTTGTTCTGTGCTTTTTAAGGGTCTCGGAGAGCCTCCAATGGTGACTGCGTCGGCATCTAGCATTCGTTCCACTGATCCACTTCCCGACGCCACCTTGCCACGCGGCTGCAGTGCTGGCTTCTTGGGCGGCTCCAACGTCGGCATTTGACTACCGATTCCCCTCATCTCCTGGAGAACTTCCCAGCCCCCCACCTTCCTCCTCTTCCTCACATTGGGCGCATGCTGTCTCACGCAATCCTAATGTCTCGTTTCGTCACGCACTCCTGTTCGGTCACTCTTCTCTCCCACAGCCCTCCGCCCCTAACTTCCTGCTCACACGCACTATCCACGCGCGCACACTGCACCGATCAGCCCGCCGTCTTTGCAAATGCTGACAGTGCTTTAAATTGCTTGATTTCGATTTTTTTCGAACCCATATCAGAACCGAGATTTTCCACCCCTTCTGCTATTCATCCATCACTCCCTCGCCGTCCTATTTTTCTTCATTTAATTAGTGATTTGCCCCCTCCCCCCAACCTCCCCTCCAAAACCCGCACAATCGGTCGGCGAGACACGCACAACAGGGCTGGAGACTAGGCGCAGGCAGCAGAACCCAAGCACCAATCATATTTTTTGTAATTTCTGTCGCCCACTTTGGT